TGTTCTTTATTTCTGTGATAGATTGCTCAGTATTATAGACTCTAAGCCCATCTGGGTTCCTGTGAAGTTCATGATTTTGTCCTTCTTTGTGGCTGTGTAATATTCCTTCATGTATATATACCACAGTTTTTGAATTCAGTCCTCTTTCAATGGACAGCACGGTTGGTTCCATATTCTTGCTATGTGAACAAAGCTGCAATAAACATATATACATAAACAGATATGTTTTTCATAGAGTGATTTGAGTTTCTCTGGGTATGTTCCCAGTAGGAGGATTGCAGGGTCATATGGAAGATCGATTTTTAGATCCTTTAGGAATCGCCACACTGTTTTCCACAGAAGCTATGCTAGTTTACACTCCCACCAATAGTGTAGAAGTGCTCCATTTTCACTGCATCCTTTCCAGCATCTGTTGTTTTTTGAGTTTTTGATGATGGCCATCTTGACTGGAGTTGGGTGGTATCTCAGTGTAGTTTTAATTTGGTGCTGGCGCTTTGATCTTGAACTTCCCAGACTCCAGAACTATGAGATGGTAAATTTCTATTGTTTACAAATTACCCAATCTTAGGCATTCCATTATAGCAACACAAAATTGACTAAGACAATAAAGTAGGTTATCAAAATATGGTTAATACATATACTTTTAAGTAAAAATAATTTGAGAAGAACGCAGGTCTATTATAAGAATTCAGTCATTTCAGTTTTATTACATCTCTGTGGAGTATTCAATATTTGAGCTAGTTTTAACCTCTGTTCGGAGTAGTATGGTATGACAGATATAAGGTAAGTGATGGCTGTAGGATAATGTGAACCATGCTTCTGTTTCTGCAAATTATTAATTATATAGCTTTGGTGTGAGACTTTTTCTCATTTCAGAATAAAAGTCACAAGTTAGTAGATGCCTAAAACGTGCCAGAAAATTTTCCAAGTGCCTTATTGGACTTTTGTCTTGTACCATAGTGTCATGAACAATTGAGACTCAAGGATTTGTTGAACTTTCTCCAGGTCAGGCACCTAGTAAGTGACATCCAGAATATGAATTTTATTTTATTTGCCCCCAAGGCCTGTAAAGAGTAAAGCACTATGAAATAATGCTTCTCCAAAATGTATGAAATGAAAAAAATGTATATCAGATATTGTTTTTCTTTTTGAATTCACAATACCTGATATAAAAGTTAGTTATTGTTAAGGGAATAGGTATTCTTTTTGTTGTTGTTGTTGTTGTTGTTGTTTTTTTTTACTTTTTAGATAAAGGAAATGTAGAGGATGATCAGTAATGCATTCCTGCATAACAAACTATTCCAAAACTTAATAGCTTATATAGTGTCTTTTATTTAGCTCATGATTTTTGAAGGTCAGTACATTTCTGTTAGGTTCTGCTGGACCATTCCAGATAGATGCATAAGAGGAAGGAACACAGCTCTACTTTTAAGGAATAGCTGGCTAACATATAAGGGTAGGAATAAGAAGTTTAGCTGTTTTGAGAGATATTTCTTATTTATTTTTAGAAATAATCTTCTATTTCATGTCAGACATTTATCAACATGATTACAAGATATAGTCTTCTATTATATTTCCAGAGTTGGTTCCTAATTCCATTTGTTATGCTATTGTAAGGGTGTGTGTGTGTGTGTGTGTGTGTGTGTGTGTGTGTGTGTGTGTGTGTGACTGGTATATATGGCTCTCATTATGATGTCAACTATTTAGGAATTATTTTTATAGTATCAGGATAGAGTTTCAAGAAAAAGGAGATGGAAGAGAGCCGAAGCATGCCAGATCTTTTGACGCCCAGGTTTGGACCTGATACATTATCACTTCTACCCCATTCTAGTAGCCAAAGCAAGTTACAAAGCCAGCACAGATTCAAGGGCTGGAGAAACAGACTTGATGGGAGAAGTTGTGAAGTCACACTCTTTAGGGGCAAACCTACAGGGAGGGATGAGAAATTGTGGTCATTTTTTAATCTACTGAAGAGTTTTGTTTATAAACATATTACTTTGAGAGTGAATGATATTTCTTTTCTTTTCTTTTTTTTTTTTTTGAGTTGGAGTCTCACTCTGTCGCCCAGACTGGAGTGCAGTGGCCACTCCCAGCCACCGCAGCCTCGACCTGCTGGGCTCCGGCGATCCTTCTGCCTCAGCTTTCCGAGTAGCCGGAATTACAGGCGCGCGCTACCACGCCTGGCTAATTTTTTGATTTATTGTAGATATGAGGTCTCGCCAAGTTGCCCAGGCGGGTCTCGAACCCGCGGGCTCAGGCAATCCACTCACCTCAGCCTCCCAAAGGGGCGGGATTACAGGCTGAGCCACCGAGCCCGGCTCGAATGATATTTCTTAAATGCTTATGTTAAACTTTAAAAGAGTTAACTTGTTCAAATGATAAACTTTTACAAGTGTGTCATTCTGACAGTCACAGTGTGGCTTCATGAGATCAATCTATGTTTCTGACGGTAATGTAGTGCTCAGCTTCTGTAGCCTTTCTGTGATGCTGACTCAAGAATATAAAGGAAGCATCATTTCAGCTGCTTCCCTGCAAGGAGTAACGTCCATACAGTTTTCTAAATCCTTGCTCCACATAGGCCACAAAGGAAACCACAACTGTTTCCCCCCCTCAGTTTTCCATTGCATCTTTCAAAGCTTTACTTTCTTTTCACTTTTATCTGTCTTTTACAGCAGGATCAGTGGAGTTAGTTGCCTAGAGGGGTTTTCTGTTATCTCCTGTCTTATATAATGAAGCTTGGATATTTGTCTTAAAATCCTCTCCTCTTATATTGACCAGAAAATATAAAAAAGCCTTTATTCAATTCATTGCTTCACATGCATATCGACATGTATATCACATCCTTTTATCTTCCCCCATTCTTATGTTGACATGTATCTCATATGATCTCTAATTTCACATAATCCTTTATGAATAATAAGAAAAGTCTGAGTTTTTCTAAAAGATCATTCTCCTTTCAATGCGATTATTTCCAGATAGCTTATATAACCTTAGACCCAAATTGATTCATTAGATAAAGATCTTTTCATTTTTCTCCCCAAGAGTCCTTTGCATCATATTCTCCTTTGCTTTTGGTTTCTTTGTTGATCCCTTGTAATGCAACTAGTATTATAAAACTAAAGGCATTCATTACTGATTCTTGCTCTCTGTATGAGTTATCTTTTCATATCTTTATTATAATTTAGTATGAACCTTTCTTTCATTTAAATTAAAAGTGGTAATTTAAGCAGAGTATTTTGCACATGGTATAACCTTAGTAAATGTTATCTATTATTATAAGTGAATCTACTACTACTACTATTATTATTAATTTATTTTAAAACAAGCCATATACTCTTCCTCCCTATTGAATTTGCAACATTATAATCATCTAGACAACAGGAGGATGCATGTTATAATTTGAATATACTTTTTCTTTGTAATTATTCTGGCAATTGAAATTTGCCATCTTTTGAGAATTTGCCATATTTTGAGAAATTCCTCAGAAATTTGCCATATTTTGAGAAATTCCTCAGTGATTGATCATTGTACAAAGCTAAAATCATTTTATTATTATTTAAGCCTTACACTTTTTGTGTTAGCAACTCAAATGCTGGGTTTACATAGTTATTATTTATATTCTCTTTAGCATTTGCAATCACGTTGTTGGTAATTTTTAAATAAATGTATACAAAATAAAATATCTTTCATTTCTTTTCTAGATATCAATGACTTTCCGAGACCTTTTAGTTATTTACTTTGTTTATTTATTTAATATGCCACAAGAGATAGACTTTTATTTAGTGAATTCTTTATATTTCAACTTTTCATCTTGTAGTCCTCTATATTGCTAAAACATTCTTATTAATAATTAATAAGTCTTTCTCTTTCCAATACACAATATCAATATCAATGTCCGGTTTTTAAAGACATCTTCTTCCACATAAGCTTGGTGTTTTCTCTACTTGGTGGACTTCAATCCTAACAAACTATGCCTGTAGAAAGTCTTTCTTCATTTCTTTTTTTCTTTTTTGAAACACACACACACACACACACACACACACACACACACACACACACACACACACAGTCTATGTGGTGATGAGGCCTGTTATAGGTTGAACATGCCACTCCCCAAACAAAAAGATGTATTGGAGTACTAACCGCAGAATACGACATTATTTGGAGATAGAGTTTTTATAGAGACAATCAAGTTAAAATGAGGTTTAGAAAGGGCTCTATCTAATGTAACTGATGTCCTTATATAAAGGAGAAATGTGAACACAAAAGCAGACATGCATAGAGAGAAACTGATCTGAAGAGGCCCAGAAAAAAGATGATCATCCACAGCCAGGAAGAGAGACCTGGAACAGATTCTTTCTTCATGGCCCTTAGAAGAACACAACCATGACAGCACCTTAATTTTGGATTTCTAGCCTGCAGAACTGTGAGACAATACACTTCTGTTTAAGTCACCCAGCTAGTGATACTTTGTTATGGCAGCCCTAGCAAACAAATACAAGGCCTAACAAAAACTTGAGAAAAAGGGAAATTGGCTTATTAGTGAATTACTTTGATACTTGATATTTGTAATTCTTCTCTTTAGCTTCTGACAAAGTAACCTGAAGTTGTACTTTCTAAAGCATTAAATTCCCAGAATAAACTTTTAAAACTTGTTTTGCTTTATATAACCATGATGTGGTGGCTGGAGACCTACATTTGACTGGAAAAAAAGAAAAAAAAGCAAGCCGGAGCTATGTATAAGATACAAGAAACAATATTCACTGTCACCTGTCAGTACACCTCTCTCTGGTCAGCTGTCATTTATTTTAAAATGCAATTGGTCTTCGATTCTCTCTCACTTGTTGAGGGGTGGGGCATGGGGTGGGGGGAGAAAGGGTGTGGAGCATAGGGTGTAAATGAAGCAGGCAGAAGCTCCAGAGAGGGTGGAGACAGAGCATCACGGAAGAAAAATATGTGAACCTGGTTGGTACAACAAAGCTTCCCAGACCCACCCACCCACCCTTTGCTGAGCGCGGCGCTTCTGCTGGCGGTGGGAGGTGGACTGCGAGCGGTGCTGAAGGGACAGCTCCAGCAGTGGCTGCTTTGGGGAGAAACAAAATCTGCAGATCGAATCCGAGCAGGGCGACTTCACCTTCACGTGGGCGAGCTCCAGCCAGTCTCTGCTCCATGCACGGCCAGCCGATCTGCCCGTTCCCGGTGGGGTCGGGCAGCGCCGGCTGGACCCGCCCCGAGCTCCATGGTTTGCCCAGCCCTGCGCGATGGTGACTCTGGGCGCGGAGGGTGGCGACGGGCAAACCCGCAGATCGCAGAATGAAGGCGGGGAGCACAGCAGGCGGCCGGCGGAGGCTGTCTCCCCGACTCCAGCGCGGGGAGAAGCGGCCCAACCACCTGAATCCGGAAAATGCCAACAAGTAGTTTCTCGTCGGAGAAGGGCGGCTCAGCTGGGCGCCAAGACTCAGTCACGCTGCCCAGAGAACCTCGTCCACTCGGAAACCAAAGCAGAAACACTTTTCTCTCGGTCTCGTTAAGGTATCTGGAAATGGGGGAGGTGGGAGTGATGAAAGGGGCGATTTCCCGGGAAGGGCATGCTGACCCTGCAGGCGGGCATCCCCCCCCCAACCCCCCAGCCTTTCTGCTATAGGGATGTAGAGAGGAAGCCCTGGGGAGAGATGGCTGGGAGGCTGGAGACAAGGACCCTGCCAGCTAGACTTTTAGCTCAGGGACCCAGGGGGTGTGCCTCCAAGCAGTTTTCCCCTGGGCTTCACTCCTCCTAGAAAGCATCCCCCCTCCACCCTCAAGGCATTTGTTTTTCTTGGGAAGGGGGATGGGTGGGATGTATCGAACATTTCTGTTCTCAAAGATGGATCCTAGTCGTTTCCTCTTCCAAGTAATAATAACATCAACACAAACAACAACAATCATGTGAAAAGGAAATTGGAAGAGGAAATAAGTCAGAGAGGTCTCCTTGGTGGAAGGAAACAGCAGGGAAATGTTTTGCTCTGACTTCTGCGTTGGGTCTTTTTGCATGGACTGTGAGGGAGAGTGTAGGTGAACCGAAAACAGGTTGCGCAAAGGGCACTGCCTGAGGGCTGGGAGTAGCGAGGGGTGAGGGTTGACCCAGGCAGGGTACGTGTGGAACAAGGGTCTCCGCCGGGTCCAGGGCTCTCCCCCAGCACTACCAACTTGCCTTAGGAAGAAAACTCCCTGCATCCATCGAATTGCGCCCAGGCTAGGGGAGGGGGAGAGAGGGTCTAGGAGATTGGACGTGAGGGGTAGAGAATGGGGCAAGGGAGTGGGGAGAGACAGTGGGCTTAGGAGGGGGAGATGGGAGGTTGAGAAGAACGAGAAGGGGTTTGTGGCTGGGAGCAGGTTAGACCTGAGAGAGGGGACGAAGGGGAGGGAGGGTGGAGGGTACAAAGATGAGGGAGAAGAGATTGGGGCCAAAAAAGGAAGGCGTGAGGCAGAGAAAACGTAGTCATGGAAAGTCACGGAAGACTTGGACTGCGGGCTCTTTGGGTCTCTGGGGACCCAGAAAAGGTGTGATGCAAGAGGCGGGGACAGGGCTGGACGGCGACCTCCTCCTGGGAGGGTCCTTCGCCCCTCGCCTGTCTGCCAACCCTGCCTCCTGGGACTCGTGGGCTGGGCCGGTGGCGGGGGTCATGGCGTGCCTCTGACGGCCGAGATCCTTAACTCGGCGCTTGTTCGCCTCCCCCAGTCATGTCTGAGTCACAGAGATGGGCAAGATCGAGAACAACGAGAGGGTGATCCTCAATGTCGGGGGCACCCGGCACGAAACCTACCGCAGCACCCTCAAGACCCTGCCTGGAACACGCCTGGCCCTCCTCGCCGCCTCCGAGCCCCAGGGCGACTGCTTGACCACGGCGGGCGACACGCTGCAGC